ATTTTTTGTTATAACATTGCCCCATTTATTGTTCAAACTTTAATTTTATGACGGTTTGACATCAAAGAGTCCTTTATCCCTTGACATTTTCTCTTTTTGTTTCTTTCCATTATACTCAGAGACCAAGTAAATGCCTAAATAATTATTACCCATACAGAAATCAAATAAATAAATACCTAAATTAAATAACAGGCTTTGCTATTTTTTTCATGCTGTAACTTAATTTACCTGGATTTTTTAATGTATTAAATACTGTTGTATAACAAACCACACCAGGGTAACTCATCTCTGCTCCAAGTAGAACAGCAAGGCAGCTAAGGAGATGCACTACCAGGATCCTGTTTTCAAAGGATTGGCTACCCAGTTGTGGGTTATGCAGTCAGCAGACACTTCCAGCTGTCAGCTCCTTCAGAGTCTACCTCAGGTATAGAAAACTACTTTATGTGAGGTCACATCCTTTCCAGAACAGCTCAACCTGATGACTGAGCAAGGGAAGGACCTGAAGGTCTGGCCATTTTAGCTCTATCCTGAACAAATTTGATGGGCAAAACTCACTATAGAGTTTCACATTTCATTGGGAAAGGCTTCATCAGACCTTTACGGTAGTTTAGATTCTTCCTGTGCCCAAACCCCCCTCTCACACAGATGTTGAACTCTACTAACTACCTGCAACATTAATTCTACTTTGGTGTATGCTTCCAGAGAACCTAACCAGCAGTAGGCAGCTCAACTGAGTGTGGAAGATCCTCTTTTAAGATGGCTCACTCCTGTGGCAGATAAAGTAAAGTGGCTGGTAAAAGAGAGCTCAGCTGGACCTGAGGACTGAGAGCTCTAATTTCTCTTGATGTGGTCTCTCCAAGGGCTGTTTGGGCTTCCTATGGCATGGTGGTTTGTTTTTATAAGACACAATATGAAAATGCATATTCTGTTTTTGTAAAGTACAAAGCTGAAGTATTTTTCATCACTGTATCAATTATATTGTCCAAAATCTCTATACATTTTTGGCTGCCCTGTATAAAAGAGACAATTTCTGCTTTTCAGCTTTAGAATGTATTTGATATGTATATTCCCTACTAATGATACCCATTTGATGACAGACTGAGCCCTTTGACACAATACTATAAAACTAAAGTAAAACTGTGTTTGTGGTAGTTATCTCCAGTTACATGCATAATTTTTATTTAAATCTTCACCTGTGTTAAACAATAATTTTAATGAGTTAATGGCAGAGAATGAATGTTTATTTCATATTTAATATTAAATATAAAATTTCCAAAATGGGTATATAGGTTTTTGTAATTGTCACAAATCTTTGAAATCCCCTAGCATGTGTAACTGAAATCAAATGAATATTCAGCAACACACCTACTACACACAGATTGATAGGATGGGAATACTGCTCTTAACACACTAAAGGTATTACAAGGACAAGAATGAAGTCCTTCTTCTTCCCATAGGAATGTCTCCCCAGTACAGTGACTGTCATATTATTATGATTAAACATAAAGGATACTTTATCTGCATTGTAACCAATATTATAATTCAGAACTTGAGATCTCAGCTTATGTATGCTGTCATTATTTATGAAGAGTCTTAATGGGCACAATACCTTCAGGAATCTTTCAGGGAAGATTCATGAAATTGAAATATCAATGGAGTTCTACTTCTTTAGCTCATAACATAGTTTTCAAGTTATCTCATATAATTACATCATTTAGCATGAGGTAGACTATAACCATAAATGTTACTCACTACACTCCTTTTTAACATCCTGGGGGAAATACTCTGTTTTTAAAAGACACCATGTTGCTAACTAATGGTAGCTTATGTAATTCATTATGACTTTTAGATGTTTTTCGAAAAAACTCGGATCTAGCTCATTATTCATTTTATATTTTATGATGTGGTTTTTGTTCTTTGAGTGTACTAGAATGTCCTTATATTTGTTTCTTGCTCATCAAGGTCTTTTAATTCTGTTCCCAGTCTCCAGGAGGCTGATGCTTCTGCCCACCACCACCCATGCATTCCATCCTACCTTATCATCAAGATGTTCTTTCATGTAAAACTTAATGAAGGTGCTGACTTACATGCAAGTCAGCCTAACAATGTCTTTGAAGTACCTGCTGGGTATACAGCACAGTACTGAAGTTAAAAGAAAATACAAAGGAAACAAAGGATATAGTTCAGCTCTTTAAAAAGACTGTACTTGAGATGAAGAAAATAACAGAAATTGAAGCATATTTTCCCAAGGCAACAACTTCATCCATTATGTCTAAGTGCAGATTCCAAGTGAAAACTGAGTATACATTAAATGCTTAGAAATTAATGGTATCATATGTGAGATCTGTCAGGGGAGGTCAAAATGCATATTACTGATGAGGGTGTTGAAACTAAAACAGGACTAATTCCTTCTTTAAAAGCTACTTATTATGCCCCGTTTCATCTTGACTCTGAACAATAAGTTGCAATCCTTTTTGTCTAAAGCCTACACAACTGTGCATCTATAAAACTGTTCTTCAAGATCCTCATGTGCTATAGAAAACATGCATATATTATATATATGTATATATAAAACTAAAGTGGATAAGTTAAGAGAAATAAAGAACTAATTGTGAAAATTTCCATACACTATCCTAATTCACTAGAATAGATTATATAATATTGATACATTTTATAACAATTAACTGTAATTTTAGGCATTTGGAATGTTAAAAAAAATATCCTAACAGTGCTTGTCCTGCTGAGGTTTCTGAGATGCCTCCTCCAGCTCAGAATTCAATGATTGCATCTTCATGTGCCAAATTCTGTTAAAGATTCAATTCCTAACCTAGTAAACTCCCAGACTATACAGTTTGGATTTGGAACTGTTCTCACCTCTAAGACAGAGGCCAACCAGTTCTCACTGGATTATATGTTGTATATCAGTCTGCGAATGAAAGGTTTTGTGCCCAGATAATTCTGGAAATGCTAAGTACAATATTTTTCTCTTAGAGAACTTTAGCATTTAAAGCTCTGACAAGCAACTCAGCTTTTAAAAAATGTATTTGACTCTGTTTAGCCCAGTATTTTCCAAACGTCTTCAGCCAAAGAACTCCATTTGGTATAATAACTGCTGACATCCTACAGAAACAGAGTTCCAAAGGATAGTCATAGGGAAATACTGATCTATCAAACCTCCACTTAATAAACACTTAGTAAGCATTTTCTTCATGAAGTTGGTGTTTTTTTTTATCTATGCCATGGAGGCAATTAAGATGAGTTAGGCATCACCTGTGTCTTCAAGAAACTTTCAAAGAGATGAAGGAAATGGAAGATTAAAAGCTAACTGCATTCTCAAGAAGAAAAAGTTCAGTGCCATGGTAGAGGTCCAAAAGAGCATGCAGTTGGATTCCAAAGAAGGAAGTAAGTCCAATGAGATCAGAGAGAGCTTCAAAGACAATGTGGAATTATGAGGTCGGCCTCATAGGAAGATAATATTTTGCTATGTGGGAAGGTGATCCTACAAGGAGTTGATACCACGGGGAAAAGCCAAGAGGTTTTGGAAGGGTCAAAAAACAGATGCACTGGAATGTGCATAGAAGGGAATGAAGTAAAAAGTGAAACTGAATTAAGGTCAGATTGTTTTGGCACCCAATTTTCATATTTAAGGAGCACCTACCATATAATAGTGACTTTTAGGAAAGCAATAGTTGAAATCAAGACTGACCATGTAAGCATAGTAGGTCAATAATTAAATCAAGATTTACAACACATTTTGATAAGATTTTACAACAGGCAAAGACTAAAAATCCTTAAGAGCAGGGAACCTTTGTACCACACACAGTGTCAAGATATGCATCCTAGAAGAATTCATAGTTGAAAAATGGAATGCTGAACTTTATTCTGTCAACCATGGAAAGCCATCTTAAGTTGTTTGTTTTTAAAGGGGGCAATTGGATTAGATCTCTCTTTTCAGAAGAACTCAGGGGCAATGTGAAAGACAGAATGGCAGAACAGACAGGAGGCAAAAGACCCAATTAGGAGTAAGCTATTGCATTACCTAGTAAAGTTTCTAAGGACCAAAGTTAGGGCAGGGTCAACAATTGAGAAGAGGAACAGATACATATAAAAGAAGCTCACCATGTTCTAATGACCAATTAGATGCAGAGTTACAGAAGAGAGGAAAAGAAACATTTTCCAATTTCCTATCTGTGACAATCAATTACAATTAATTTATTATTAGAAATGTATCTGATATATCAGAACAAAATATCAGTAGACATGGAATACAAATGGTCTAAAGATGCATCAATCACTTAATTTCATTCAGAGACACATTTTTTTCCCACACACACAAACATATTATTTTGTGTAAACAGTTACTATAATCCAGAAAGCCAGTCTGGTCATGATGAAGCAGAAGAAAACAATATAGTAGTTTCAATGAAATGCCCCAACAAGTTTTATTATCTCTGACCTTTAGCTAAGAATATTTTCCTTTCAAATGCCATCAATTGATCACTGCCCAACAATTCCTAGGTATGTTTAATTTTGTGAGTGTCACAGCTTTGTAGAATATTTTATAATGTTTAATTTTCAGCTTCTCTATCTTCATCCAATTTTTTCTGTTAAATGTATATAAATTTAGATTCTTGTGATCTCTTACATGTAAATCATCTCCTCTTTCTACTCAACTAACCATGAGCATTATTAACTCATTTAATGAATAATTTATTATGATTCACTAGAAATATAAAACCTATTTAACAACTTTATTTTGGAATCAGACTGGTTCAATTCACTTAATCACAATAGTGGTTTTAGGACATCAAGGGTCAAAAATCTGGCAAAATTAGAATTACATGAGTTAATGCTTATAAAGGCACAGCCTCTGACAAATAATAAACAGTCCTTAGGTGTTAGCTATCCTCTATTCAAGACTATACTAAGCAATTAAGCACTGCTTAAACCATCTGTGTAGGGTAGGGTTTCTTTCAACACTCAAATATCCAGGAAACCAGAGCTGGCATAGCTCATCTGAACAAAGGGGCATTCACAGCAGAGCTTGCCTAAAGCTGGTAGTTGAATTCCATGAACACAACTAAGCAACTTGGAGAGTGTCAAATGACCCTTTTTACTACCTTACCAAGACAGCAATAGAGACCTCAGGTGATATCTAATCATAAGTCTCTTACTTCATTTAGGACATTAAGAGAGAATTCCCTCTCTTAAAAATTTTAATCATCAAGTAAGCATAATTCCTGAGTAAAGAAGGATTTCTTCTACAAATTTGGCAGGCATTACAGTTTTTCCTGTCTTACTACAGGAAGGGGCACACACAGCTTTGCAATATCTTGCTTATGAATAATGGCCCCACTTCTATTATGACTTATGAGAAGCAAGAATTGCCATATGCCAATGCTGAAGAGCCCCTAGCCCCTTTGAAAGATTTTCTATCACATTTTTACTCCCTTGTGTCTTCCTATCAACTGGATCAAATGAATTCAGTAGTCTCTGAAAAGTCATAATCCTTCATGCAAAGTTAAATAGAAGTAAGGTGTGTGGGCTAGTCACTGTCTTCCTTGACAAGAACTGGGAAAACAACCCACCCAGTAATCATGAAAAGGCATGAAAACCCAAAACTGTGAACAAGTGTAGATTTTCCTCAGTGGTACCGAAACCATCAATCACACATTTCACATTGGTCAAGAATGTGTATGATACATATGCCTTGTCTGTTTTTAATTTAAGCATCTCTACCTGATCTTTAATTAATTTTTTTGCCTAATGTCAAATAAGATGGAACCATTTTAGTTCAATCAAAATGACCAAGTTCACAAATTAAGGAAGATTCCAACCTATCTCACTGTCTTTCAAGTATGATAATTTGACCGTTCATAAGCTTTGTCCTCCCAAATTTATGTCCCTTTGTGAGAGGGCCTTTAAAAAGTAAACAAAGTTAGGGCCTTGGTGTTCTTGTGTGCTGGAGCCCTTATGAGTTAAGTTTCTTGACTTGTTTAATCATTCTTGGCGAACTAATTCAGTGATAGAACTCAGTCTTGTTTTCCCCTCTTATAGTTCTAAGACCATGTTTCAAATTATTTTTATGGTCATGTGTTCCAGTTTATAACTGCTGTCCTTTAAGACAGAATGACTTGTTTGACAGTTTGGCCCAATACAGTCACATGGTTTAATGAAGGTGCCTCACAGGCTGCTATGGAGGGAGAAAGAAAGAGAGGGAGAAAGGGGCAGAGGGACTGAAGGAAGGGTGGGAAGTGAGAGATGGACAGGTTCTCACCTTTTTTAGCAGTGGATTTTCAGGTAAAAATTTTTGTTGGAAAAAAAGATTCTAAGAATGAAACAGTATACAGGCCCATTTATAAGAAGAATATATTTCCTTGGCCCCTTCTAGTTCTAATGCTTGGTTATTCTGTGGTTCTGTGATACTCTCTCTAGTGTATGATTCTCAGTATGTAGCATGGGAAAACACATGTTTCCAAGGTAATCTGTGTATAATTCTGTAGTCTGCTCCTTTAATCTGGGTATTTACCAACTGGTCTTTTCAGTTGATGGTTGTGTGTGTGTGTGTGTGTGTGTGTGTGTGTGTGTGTGTGTTAACATACATAAAGTATTCATATATCTATAAATATTAAGTTGTCTTTTTTATCGTGAAAGAAATATGGGTTCCTATCTGACGCCTTCACATCTTAGGGATTTGTCATTGTTCAGTTTCAATAAAGGGTAGCACGGTAACAGCGTCCCTGGAGTGATTTAAAGTGCTTTCTTAAGTAACCCTGGATATAGAGGATCCAGATATGCACATTTGAGTGGAACTAAGGTAATCAGGAAGTATTTATCCATTCTTCACTGTTGTAGCATGTTTGCCCTGAGGTGCAGAGCCATGTTCAGTCTAGTTTAGATGACAGATTTCAGCTCTCCCTGATAAAAATATTAAAGTCTTTTTAAACATTAAAAAATCCTTAATGCGTTGTTATTGGCTCTTTTCCCTTTGTTAAGAAGAAAATATATTCCCTTATTATTTTTCTTTATGGAGTGGCCTACTTACAAGTGTAGTAAGTTCCCCAGAGCTACAAAAGTTCAATTTGTGGGTGGATGATCAGTTTCAGCAATGTTATAAAAGGAATTCCTGTATTATATAATGAATTTTACCTAATAATCACTAAGATCCCATTTGTTTTATGATTCTATTATCCACCTTTTGTTTCTGGAAGTTCAAAAACTCCCACTTTCTCTCCATAGGTTGCATCTCTTCTCTCACTCAGATATTAAAACTCTGTAATTTTATACTTTATAGTCCTCAGTGAAGACAGAGCCTCACTCCTATTTTAACTACTTTTTTCAACTGTACTTGATTTTTACTGATTCTTTTTTTTAAGTCACCTTCTATACCGTAAGGTATAATATTAGATTTTTTCCAACATCCTTAATACTTTTTTCTTTGTTTTCTTGGATTTTTTTACCCTAATGTAATTCTATATCATGAGAACCATATGATAATGTGGGAAACCCCATGAGATGTGCTGGAAACTCTGCCAAAAAGACAGAAAGGAGTAACTTATTCTGAAAATAACTGACTAGCATAAAGGCCAAGCCCTTGTCCCAGACATGCAAAAAGTTACTTATACATCCCAACGTATTTCTCACAGCATCTGCAGGATATTATCTGGGTATATGGCTAGAGATACAAAACAATAAACAATGCTCAATATTGGATGAATGTCTTCATCCCAATTGTGAAAAATAAATTATTTCTGAACAAGTCCTCAGCCAACTGCAGAAGTACTAAAAATAGGATTCAATGGCAAACATCAAGAAGTGTGTTGAGACAACAGCTAAAAATGAAGGGCTCTCATCCTAGCTGGAAACCAAGGAAGGTAATCCAATGAAGGCAGAGGCAATACAGGGAAACAGTGTGATCTGTTGGGCACAGGCTACACCAGGGTCACCCCAGGTATCATGAGTATGGTCTATCCTAATTCCAACCAGGCATTCCATGCTCATCATGCATTCCCTGCCCTGGTAGAACTGACTCTGGGCACTGCTCATGTCTGAGCCTGGAATGAAAAACATCTGTGACTATAACTTTGCAAAATGTTTTAAAAAAAAAAAAAAAGGATTGAAAGTCTGCCCTATAATTTCACATGTTTGCCAAAATCAGCTTTCTAAACACTCATTTTTTTTTTCAGGATTTTTTTAGGCCTTCTCTCAGAATCTCTAATTCTGCCAATTCATGATTGCTTATCTGAAGATTACGTTCCAATTTTAACTCCTTAAGCATTTCCCTGTTTGAGAAAATGAATTTAGGAATGACATCTGGACTAGTTGGCACTTCTATGTGGTCTTTGCTGCACTGCAGGAATTTACTGACAGGATTTGTGACCTGGGGCATCGATTTTTGACAAATGTTCATATGATAAAAAAAAAACTCTCATCAGCACCAAGTTCTATGCTGAAGAAGTCTCAACAAGCTTCTCTGAAAAGGCTGGCTCATTTTTTCTCCCTTTATAGTTTTCCGATTAATTATAAACTCCAACTACTAAGTTACCCATTCTCTCCTCTCTTTCTTACCCAGAGTGGAATTCTCTAAAGTTACTTCTCCAGTCTTGATATAAAAAATCATATTAATAAAGGTTTATATTCTTTTTTAACCAGACATTTCAGTAAATCTTCCATTTTTGTACAGGAATGAAACATCAGACTGTACATTGCTTATTAAATTCTTTATGTAAAAATTTATAACTATTTTCTTAAAATTATTGTTAGTATGATGTTTAACCTCTACAAGTCTCAGCTTTATGATCTGTAAAGTCAGAATTTTGTAGTAGTACCTATCTCCAAGAGTTGTTGTGAGCATGAAATGAAATAATGTATGTAAAAAGGCTTAGCTGTCTATAATCTGTAGTATTACCATTACTACTGGTTCGTTTATCTCTAAAGTATGAACTAATTGGTTTCTCCTGCTATTGTCCCTCTTTCCAGATGAAGCATGAGAGTGGGTTACCAAAACAGTGTGATGCAGCTATCCTGCATAAAAAGAAAGTAGCACTTCATGGCTGATGTTGGGAGGCTCACATGCAGGGCCAAAAATCTGAGACTCTTCTTAAAGGGTCATAAATCCAGTCCTAAGTGGCACAAACTGAGAAGAGCAAACAAAAATGAGAAAGCAAGAAGGTCCAGCATCATGATGAGCTGATGGGTTTTGCTAAGCCAAGGAGAAAATAGACAACGTTCTTATAGAGTCTCTGCTCACAAGTGAACATCCATCCTATATCATCCCTAACACTGAAAGATTAGAAAATTCCTAGGACTTCTTTATCATACAGAGAACAACAGTACAAACATGTATAACCTAGAATAGACAAGGCCAACTTTATGTTCTTAGCTAACCTTGACTCTTGGAGACACATACTCTTTTATCTTTAAACTTCTACTTTATTCAAGCAAAACTTGAGTTTTGAAAACTGGAGATTTCAGAAGCACTCAGCAGGCCTGAGGCTTGTTGATAGATTTCAAGATCTTGTTGAGTACTTTAAACTGCAATTAATTATAACTCACTGTTCAGAAATTGTTATAAAACACCATTTTGTAATTGAATTGTATAAACATATATCCAATTTGCATTACGTTTGTTTTTAATGGTCTATAAATACTTAAATTCCATACATATTCAAAGGTTTTACCTAAAACCTTAGTATCAATTCATCCATACTAATGTTTATAATCTAAAAGTTGTTGTATATATACCATCTAATGGTATTTGATTGTGGTTATCCCCTACTTACCCATGACCAAACCTTAAACGTTGAAAGGTTACTTTACTAACTGGCCGGAGAATCAACATTAGAACCAGACAAAAATAGCCAGTCTTTTTCCTGAGTCCCATTTATTTTCTTTTCACATTCAAATATTACTTATAATATGAAGAAATTTTAGGAATAAATGTAGTCAAGCAACTACCATACCATATTGTAAATGTCTATCTCTTGTCCACTGTCCCACTACCCTGTGGGA